CAGAGCCGCCCGCCAGTCCCGCAGGAATGGAGGCCAGCAGCCCGCACCCCCTCGGCGGCTCGGAGCGCCCCCACTTCTAGCCCGGCCCCTTCTGTGCGGACCCCTTACTCGCTCTCGAGACCCCACGCGCCCTGACGTCCCTTCAGGGCCTCCTGCGACCCCTTTCTCCTAGAGCTCCCGTTTCCTCTTGGAGCCGGTTTCCCCCTAGGAGCCCCGTCCCCAAGACCCTTCCGGAGCCCCGCTGGCCGCGACCTTCCTACCTCCCAAGCTTCGGGGGCCCGGCCAGGCCCGGCCGCGCGTCCCCCGGCAGCAGAGCGTCCGTCGCTCCCCGGCGCCGCTCCGAGCGCGCGCCAGTTCCGCGTCCGCACAGGGGGGCGCGTACCACTCGGCTCGCGTGAGGCAGGGGAAGCTGAGGGGGGCCGGGAGCTCTACCATTCACCCCCGCGGGGGGACAGGGCGGCACCAAGGCGAGCGCCGAAGGGTGGAGCCCACTTCGGGAGAAGGGCGGCTACGCACACACCTATACCAGTGGGAGTGAGAGCGCGATGGGGAGCGCAGGGCCAGCGTAGAGCCTCCCCTCCAAGGGGAGGACCCAAAGGAATACGTTTTGTTTAGGTTGCGCAAAGAGGTTTTAATTCGACATGGTAATAGAGTCCGTTCCGACGAAATATGGATTAATCGGGAAGCTAATTCTTCAGGTATACTGCTCCTGACACTTTCTGCCCGTCCCCCACCTCCCCTTCCTCCCCCCGCACACGGCTTGGAAGTGCCCGGCCGCCCGGGCTGGAAAGCCGGCTGCCGGCGGTGGAGCGTACCAACTCAGGGCTGGGGGGGACCTGAGGCCAGAAGCCGTGCGTATCACCTACGCCGGGGCGCTCCAGGGGAAGGGGCGTGAGCGGAGCCGCGGGGCCCGCTGGGAAATGGAGTCCGGTCGTCCTGAGGGGCGCAGCCCGCGCTGGGCTGCCTCCGCCTGGCCTCAGAGGACTTTTCTTCCTGCCCCGTAGTCTGGGAGCCGAAAGGAGGAATTGTTGGGCCCTCTTTTTAAGATGCCAACGAAAAAACCAAGGCATTGTGCGCGCTCCCACGGGAACACAGGTGCACTGCTGAGGCGCTAGTTGTGAAAATGCAGCACCCCGTCCCCCACAGAAAGACATGATCGCCCCCTCGCCCTGTCATGACCGCGGGCGGGAGCAGCAGCATCCGTCACCCTCACGGCGCGACGGGGCTAGAAAGGAGTCTGGCACCTGGGACTTGTCCCCCGCGGGGTCTGGAGGCGACCCTAAAGGGCGCGGGCTTGCCCCCGCTGCCGCCGCCCGGCCCGGCGCAGAACCCGTGTCTCTCGCTGTGTTCGTTTGGGTCTTGTGCGCACGGTACCGGGCCGGCCTCCCCGGGCGGCGGCCCGAGCCGCAGAGTGACGGTGGAGAATGTCTCCAGGGGCCGGCGGGGAAAACAGGAAGTGGTGCAGGCAGGCTGGGCAGGCCTGCAGAGCCTTGTGCAAAGCGGCCCCAGGCTCATCCGTTTGGTCGGGTCAGTGCCCTGTTCAAGTGGAGCACAGTGAACCTCAGTGCCCAGCAGCCACAAAACTCCCAGCCCGTTGACTCTCCTTTAATGCCACGCGAGGGGCTCCTTGGCCCAGCCCCCAGGAATGCTGCCCTGCTCGGTCTGTTCCACCCCTAGGAGGCAGCCCCCAAAACAGAAGGTTAGGGGGAGGACAGTCATTCGTGCACATCCCAGATCTCAGAGAGCAGCGGGGGAAGCTTTTTGTCCTGCAGGCGCAGCGCAAACACTTGCTCCGAGTGGACGCTGCTCAGTGTCCGGAGGCTCACCAGCTTCATTAGCATCCGTGGGAACATCAGGCGGTCCTGGGGAAGGAGAGGGACAGGTACAGACTGTGTCTCCCCCCAGGGAAGGGGGCAGGGTTAGGGCAGCTGTGGGAGGTGTAATCAGAGAGGGATTCTTAAGGGAAAGTAGGTGTGTCAGGGAATGAACCCTGTTGAGGAGAAAGGGCACCAGGGGAGACTCACATGGGGGTGGTGGATGGAGACGTAGGCATGCAGGGCCTCCACATATGTGTGTTGCAGCCTCTCTACCTGGAGCTGATCCTGCACGTTGGGCCGGTCTATAGTTCACCAACAGAGTTGAGGAGCAAGTCTGGCCGGGGTCAGTTCCATACCCCAAATCACAACCAAAAATAGGAACATGTCCCACCCAACCTCTCCCATCCCAAAGTAGCACAGCAAGGGCCTCCACCCCTACAAAGCCTGTCCTCTGGGGCCTGCAGCCCTCCTTGGTTCAAGTCCCCTGTTCATTTTCTCTCTTGCCCCTCCTCCGCACCTGCAGAAAAGATGCTGATGGCAATGAGCAAAGCAAACTCGGCGTCATTGAGCTGCAGCTCATTCATGGCTCTGGAGAACTCAAAGATGGGGTTGATGAACTCCACTTGCAGCCCTGGGGAGGAAGAAGGGAGGCTGGGCGTGTGGCATGAGCAGCAGGAACTTCTCTCCTCCAACTCCGCAACTACTAGGAACTCAGTAAGAAGTCTCCAGGGCTCTGCTCTGTAACCTTGGGCAACTTTCTTGACCTCCCTAAGCCTCATCTGTGAGATGGGAATCATATCTGAATTTATAAGACTGTTGTGATGATTAAATGATAAAGCATGCAGAGCACTTAGCACTGTGCCTGAAACATAGGAGGTGTTGAATTAAATGATTATAATAATTCTGTTATTCTTATTAAAATTCTTGAGGGCCCCATTACTAGAAATAGAGGCAACTCATTTTTCTTTATAAAGACTTTTTCACTGGCAATTGGCCTTACTTATTTAAATACTAGAGATACATTTCATGTTTCATATCCCAGGGAAACTTAGCAATGTGATTGAGGGTGTGGACTCTGGTGCCAGACTGCCTGGGTTTGAGTCCCGGCTCTACCATTTACTAGGCTATGTGACCTTGGGTAAGTTATTTAACCTCTCTGAGCCTTGGTTTTCCCATTTGTAAAATGGAGATAATAGCACCTACCATAATAAGTGGCATAATGGGTGCCATATGTGTGGCACATATGGTAACTACTATATGTGTTTGTTAAATAAATAATAAAAATTTAAAAATAGAACCAGTCTTCTTGATGAGGAGACTGAAGTTCAACAAACCACTACCAAACGTCAAGACATCTAAAAAGCATGTCTCCCATACAAACTGAGTCTCCTCACCCCACACCCTCGCCTCAGCCTTCTCAGATTTCTTTTAGCAACCATCTGCTAGCTTTTCCATTCGAGGTTTCTTGATTAGTCACTTCCTGTACTTTCACCCTGATGTTTATCAAGTGTGTGTTGATACATTTAATGGACGAGCCCCATTTTATAAAGTATTTGTTGGTGAGGTACTGAGCTTTGAATTGTGCTAAACAGCCCGTCTGTACAGAGGACAAGGAGGTTGTAGAGCTGGATTGTGCACCCTGGAAGGGCCACTGCGCGCTGAATGAACGCCTCCTATGCCAAGAATGCACATCATTAGTCAGACGGAGGGCGCAGGAGACCCGACACAGGAGAGCCCCAATTCCTTCTCCTGGAGACCTCACTGACAAAATGACAAACGAAAGGCAAGATGATATCAAAACTGCTTATATAAATGAATCTATAAATAGGCACAGATTCAGACAACACAAGTCTGAAAGTGCTGAGGAAACACACACACAAGAACTGGGAAGGGTTCAGAAAGGAGGGTGTTCTGGAGGAGAAAGCCACGGTTAAAGGACAGGGACGATATGGCCTGGGGAAGGGTGGCTTGGTACAGAATGGGGGCAGGGCTGGGCTTTTTCGTCGTTGTTGTTGTTTCTTTTAATCCTCACCTGAGGATATTTTTCCCATTGCTTTTCAGAGGGAGTGGAAGGGAGAGAGAGAGAGAGAGAGAGAGAGAGAGAAACATTGATTGGTTGCCTCCCGCACTCAGCCTGACCGGGGCTGGGGATCGAGAGGGCTGGGCTTTTAAAGATGGAAAAAGTCATTAAATTGCCCATACATTCTGGCAGCACACAGAAGGCAAAAGGTGCGGACACAGCCCTGCCGTGCCCTGTAGTTAAGAGAGACCTTCCTAGGAAGATCACTGGGTAGCCTGTGTTGGGACAACAAGAGGCACATTAGCTGGCCTGAGTCACCAGACAGCAGAGAAGACTTTATGAGCTCTGCCCTGGAAACCGGGACCTCCCAACCCGAAGAATGTAGTCATAGCATCAGCCACATTTTACAGACCCACTCATTCAGTTGTTTGACTACTTGGTCTCCCTCAGCCTCAGCCTTCCATCCTTTCCTAACTCTGCTCCCATAACACAAACATTACCATCAGCTGAATATGAGGAAACCAACGCTGCTTAGCCTGCAAGTAAGCGTCAGATAGAGAGCAGCAATGGGAGCAAATTCTTGGAGAAAACACTCCAAGTACAGGATGGGGACAGAAGCATCCACTCTGACCTCAAAGCTGCCCCATCTAGGCATGTTCGCTACATACCAGCTCCCGTCCCGTGGCTCTTCAGAAAAAGCAAGTGAAGAAGAGTAGGGGGAAGTTAACCCACGTGATCCTTAAAGAGCACGCCTGAGAAAGAGTTGCTCGTTACTGACTACTAGAAGGCTTGATATGGCTGTTCTCAAGCCTTTTTCCCCAGCTGTAAAATCTTTTTTTGAGGCAAAACATTATGCAGAAGCATGACATATAATGCAGATTTAAATGGAACTTCTTGTTTGGCTCCACGTAAAGAAAGAATGAAGGACATCTCTGTGCTTCCTTGTTGCTTCTCTAAGGTGACACTTTTATGGAACCCTTCTTCTCTAAAGTGACACTTCTATGGAACCCTTCCTTGGAACACAGTTTGAGAACCAGTGGCCTAAAGCAACAGAGGACAGGGGAGTATTTGGAACAGTGGAGAGAGGCCTATCAGCATTCCAACTTCCTCTCTCGGAAAACCAGGTGAAGCCTTCCCTTTACAGCCACCCAAACCTTGGGCCTGTGGCTCTGGAGTCACTACAAGACAAAAAGAGCCTGCCCATCCAACCCAGTCACTTTGTGATCTCAGTCCTCACCTGCTTTGGCAAAGTCTTCCCGGTTATAACTGAAATCCTTGAGGAAGGTGATACTTTCACTCCCAGGGTTGTACCTCCGAGATGTCTCCAGAAGCATCACCTGCACACAAGTAGCAGACCTCAAACAGGGACGCAGTGGGCTGGTCTTGACATAGGGCACCTTCAATGGAAGGTCCCCGCTTCCCAGTGGTGGGTCTGGCTTCCCCGCTGGCTGGCTGGAGGCCCTTCCCACGAGCAATCCCGCTCTGGTTCTCCCTGCGCCCCTCAGCCCTGCCAGCCACCTCAATCGCAGAGGTCTTCAGCAGGGCGATCTGGTCCTCCCGGCTGAGCTGCAGGAAGCCGGGCAGCTGTTTGGCAAAATCGACGATCTCCTGGACAGAGACGATGGCCAGCTCAGTGAAGTGGGCAAAGCGCTGCTGCCGGGCCTCCCAGCTCTGGGGATCTGGTGCCATGGGCCAAGGCTACCCAGAGGGAAAGGAGGGGAAAAACAAACGACTCTGAGTCAGACATCGAGAAGCCAGATGGAACACTGGACACAGCCCCCTCTCCCCAGGTCCCTCAGGTACCGTCACTCGAAGCCGGTCAGAAAAGGAGCGTCTGTTACACTGTTGCTGGGCAGCCACCAGCTTCTCAATCATGCCCAGTTGCTCTGGGCTGAGCTGGGGCAGGATCTGGGGAGTTGATGCCCTTGGAGGCACAGATGTGGACTGAGCCTGTTCCTCCTCTTGCCGCTTCAGTTTCTTCAGTCGGATCTGTTCCTCCGACAGGACACCTACGGACGGACAGACGGACAGGCCAGACGTGAGGAGGGAAGAAAGGGGAGACAGGAAGCAAGGCTGGGCCAGAGGGGTAGTTTGAGGCTCCACAAAAGCAGAGATCACAGAGCAAAGGCAAGGAAGAGATTTTAATTCCTACTTAGGGACCATATAGGAAGGCCCTGTAGGCTTAGCTGCCTGTCTGCCCTCACACCCCGGCACCGGCCACATGTCACCTCTTTTCCACCAGTCCCATTCCTGTCCCCAGATACTCACACTCCTCCCGCATGCCAGCCTGGCGGCATTTGCGAAGACGACACTCCTGGCACTTGCGACGCATATAGGTGTCCATGGGGCAGTGGCCCCCGCTGTGGCAGATGTAGCGCGCCCCTTTGATGACACTGCGGCGGAAGAATCCCTTGCAGCCCTCACAGCTCAGCACGTTGTAGTGGAAGCCAGAGGCCTTGTCCCCACACACACTGCACAGCTCATTCCCCAGCATTTTGGGGGCTGGCCCCTTTTTCCGCTTTTGTGGACGGAGCTCTGGATATAGGGAAGCGCCTTAATGTTCTCCTCCAAGAAACAAGTATGATGCCCAGCTGGCCACTGCCTTGAGCATTCAGTGACCTTCATGCCCTGTTATCACACACTCTAGTCTCTTTATTATAAGAAAGTAGCTCTCATATGCCAAGTGCTATTTATTACATCCCAGGTACTGTCTCAGCCCTTTATATGCATTGATCCTGAAGACAACTGTAAGAGATAGCTACTATTGTTATTTCCATTTTGTGACTAAGGAAACTGAGGCTCAGAAAGGCCTGATTTAGAGATAAAACTCACACTCAGCTCACTCAGGTCTAGTTGACACCAAAGCCTTGGTATACTTAAACATGATTTTATATGGTAAAGAGCCCCAAGATACCCCTTCTAGACCCAGGGAGCCCCTACATCCTACAAATCCAGCAGCTCCTCACCTGTGGACTCTGGAGGGGCCTCCATCCTGGGGAGCAAGGCTGTGGGATCTGCAGCCTCCAGCCCCAGCCCCGAAGTGCCCCCAGCTGATTGGGGCATGCTAGCTTCCTCCCTGAGGGTGCAGTTGCTGCCTCTCAGGGCCGGGCTGCTTGCATCTGGTGCATCTGGTTCCCACAGCTCCACTGCAGAATCTGAGCCAGGAAAGAGGCATGGGGGGAGGGGCTCAGGTCCTCCCCCTCCACTTCCCCAACATCCTGATTGGGAAACTGCAAACTTTTCCCACCCATAGAGGGCAGCAAAACACCAGCTCAGGCCCTGGGGTTTGTGAGAGCTTGGAGGACTAGCTGCTTGCAATTCCTGCACCTCAGTTCTTTAAATGAGGATGTTAACCTTTGTCCCCTTGGGGGGCAGACATGCATCTATTTCAGAGATCAGACAGAAATCTTTTAAGCCAGAGCTGGATAAGCTGGGGACATGCCAACTCTCCCCAGCAGCAAGCCCGGATTGAGAAGGACCAGCAGGTGCCTGCAAGGGTCAGGCCCCAGAACCAGGGTAAAGGTAGTCTGGGCAGAAGGAGGCAAGGATGGCTCTAGACTGCTCTCCAGGGAAAGGCGGAAGGGAGGTAGTGAAGGGGTCCTGACTGAGGGGAGAGGGCCAGGGTAAAGAAGCTTACCAGGAGAAGTGTCAGGCACAGGGGCCTCCAGCCACAAGGACATCTCTTCCTGGAGCCCTGGACATTACCAAGGGACTGTCCTGCAGGAACAACCCAGGTTATATTCTTCCAGAACTGGTTCCTTCTTTATCAGCTAACATTTACTCAGTATATACACCAGCCTGTGCTAAGACTTTACATGCCTTCCTTATAGTGTCCTTTTCTTCTTCCCATTTTACAGATGAGAAAACTGAGTTTCAAAGAGATTAAGTAAATTGCCTTTGGCCACACAGTGAGTGGTAGAGTCAAGACTCCAGCTCTGGTCTCTCTGACTCCATAGTCTGAGCTCTCAGCCACCAGGCCACTTTTTCTCCCCAGGGCCCATCTCTTGGCCATCAGGAAATGTTTGGGCACATCTGCCCTGGTTCTATCAAAGCCCCTTCCCCCTCACTCCAGCACTGGGGACAGCCAAGTTTGGGCAGGATCAGGACAGAATGGAGACTCCACCCAGTGAAATATGCTGCTTGTTAGATAACCTCACTCCTGCCACTTCCCAGGACCCCAGCACAAACCTGTTGCATCCAAGGCTTGCCCCAATTAACATATAGGACCTCCTCCCACACAGCCCCTCAGGAGTTATTCCGGGACCTAAATAGAATCCTGTTGCTGCCCAAGCTTCCATCACTGTCATCATCATCCCTCACTTCTCCCCAGAGAGACCCTTTTCTAAGTTCCATAGGACCCCCACCACCACCACCACCAGACACCCATAGAGTCCTAGGCAAGTGCTGAGGAGCAGACCCACCGAATGCCAGGCCACCAGACTTCCTGGTTGGGGCAGTCTCTGGAGCCCCCTTGCTCAGAGAGGAGGACTGTGCAGTCCCTGTCCAGAGGCCTTGGTGGTGATTGAGAAGCTGGAGCTGAGCAAGATAGGGGCCAGAGCCCCAGGGAAGTAATATGGGGAAAGGCTGAGGGGAGGGACCACCAAGGGGTCAGGTCACACTGCTCTTTCTGGCCAGGCAGACTGGGAGTCAGAGCTGGAGCCGACTGACTGGAGCCCTGGCCTCCTCACCCTGCCACCCGCCCACCAGGCAGCTTCCCCACCACGCCGACTCCTCCCCAGCCAGCCACCCCCTCAGCCCAGCGCCACCCCTGCCCGCCTACCCCCACCACAACAGTGGTATTTCCCTGCAAACCAGCCCAGTTCCACGTCTCCCCTTCTTCTGCTCACCCAGGCTTCTCTTACAGAAGGACTGCCTCCCAGGCACCCCCACCCCAATCCCGGCAGCCTCCAGAGTTGGTGTGCCCTCCCTTCCATAGACATTTCGTGGAGCAAAGGTCCCAGCACAGCCTGGAATTGCAACACAGAGCCCCAGCCTGCTTTCCCAGCTTCCCTCTCCTCCCCTGCCTCTGGGAAGGGGCCAAGAAGCTCTCCCCACCAGCCCCAGGCCTCAGCCAGGCTGACAGAACTCCAAGGGTAGAGAGAGGCAGGTGCTGGGCCTTCCTGGGAGTCTCTGAAAGGGGGTTCCCCATGAGGGCTACCGACAGGGGAGGAGGCCAGGAAAGAGGGGAGCAATGGCAGGCCTGGGATCTGGGTGAGGGTAGAGATGGCAGGTGACCCAATGCCAGCCCAGGGTGAACCTGGGAAGCTATGCAAGTCCCTCATCTGGGGAACAGTTCCGTATGAAGTGATGACAGGCCCTGCCAAGCAGCTATTGAGACTATAGCCGCAGCCTTCGTGCCCTGTTGCCTGGAACGAGATCCATCCCTGAAGGTAGACACCAAGTTTTATTGATTTTTGTCTCCCCTGTCCCATGGATCAGGGCCTGGCAATAGAGTAGGCAACAGAGTGGGTACTGTGTTCCTGTTCATTAAGTGAATATGTAAATAAGAAAAACACACGATCCCCTTCTATCCTACACTTGTCAGTTCTAGTCACTTTTATTTCAACATGTTGCTTTAGCTTTTGGGCTCTGCGCTCAGATTTTGGGTTCAAATCCTGGCTTTGCCTCTGCCTCTCATTAGCTGCATGATCTTGATTAAGCAAGTTACTTAATATCTCTGCACTTCTGTTTCCCTACCTTTAAAATTGGGAGAATAATAATGGTCTTTGCCACCTAAGGTTGTCATGAGAATTAAACAATATGTCATAGCACACTGCGAGGCCCATAGTAAGTGTTCAAGAGATGGTGGTAGTTGTCATTAAGTTTCTAATCCTTTCAGCTATGGGCCTTCCTGACACCTTGAATCTGTATACTGTCAACTTTCCAGTGCTTATTCCCAAATACAAACCCCTCACTATCTCTTTTGGTCCTTAGCGCAGCCCCAAGAAGGAGGGTAAGTAACACAAGCTCCATTTTACAGAGAACACTAGGCTCATGGGAGAGGCTTCCCGAAGACCACCCACAGTGGCCAAGCTGGGATCAGAATCCAGCTGTCCTCACTCCAGTCCCTGCACTCTTTCTTCCTCCTGTGTCAGAGTCCAGGACAGTCTTATCTTGCTGCTCAGGTCTGCTGGACCAGTGAAATGCTGAGATGGAAGAAGCCAGAGCTGGGGGGCTGCAGTGGGAGAGGCAGAGAACTCTGGGGATGCTTCAGTCCAGATGTAGGAGGGGAGGAGCTGAGGTTACTGCTGGCTGTTCACCCCCTGCCCCACTCCCAGCTTCCTGCTCACAGGCTCTTCCTGTTTTGCTGTGAACTCCAGTTCCCATGGGTCCCACATTAAAGCATAGGACAGGGGGCCAGGGCGGGCAGGCAGCCAGAGGGACCAAAACAGATGAACAGGGCACCAGGAAAGAAGACAGAGGGAACAGGAACAGGGAAAGAGTGGACGGGGACGGGGTGGGGTAGGGGGGAGAGCAGGCGGGGATAAGCACGGGGAAAGCAGAACTAGAACAGGA